TAGATAGATAGATAGATAGATAGATAGATAGATAGATAGATAGATAGATAGATAGATAGATAGATAGATAGATAGATAGATAGATAGATAAAAAGTAAAATTCTGAAACCCACTTATGCATCCCTCCCCCCCTCAACTGGCGTATAGTAAAAGTAAAATGTAGGTAAGAAGAATTACAAAACGTTATCTGATTCTGTGATCTTCAGTTGCTTAACCAATAATTAAATCTGTACAACGACTGACTATGAAGGGGCTATTCTTTTAAAAGCATTCATCCAGAAAGAACAGTTTATGTGTAGTTTCTTACAATTCTGCTTAGAGCCAGGGCTGCTAAAATGGTAAAGATTCTCTGGGGCAAATGGAACATTATTTTCTCAGTTGGGCAGATGGCTGTGACTTTTGTAACAATGGTATTAATAACCTCAGTAGGCTGCACAGGGAACAAAATGTGAAGTAATTGAGTTTATTTTGGATATATTTATAGTGAAGAAACGACCACATATTTTACTCAAAATGGAAAAAGTTGTTGCTACCTTGAATATGTGACAAATAGAAAGTTGGGTACATAATGATTTAAAAACTGATGAAAGACAGTAATTTGTAAACTGGTGAGAAACTGAAAAGTAGGTTTATTAGATTATGAAACAATTAGTTTTGTTTCCATAGTTCAATTGATGTAGATTAATAGCCACAGCTTTATGGATAAATTAATGTACTGTAGAAAAATAATACATTTTGGGGGGACTATTTCACAGGATTATCATATACTTTACTATCAACTGCCCAAGTCAGGGTCAAAAATATTGAAATGTGAAGAGTATCTCCAGGTGTAAATCCATTAAACTATGATCTCTCTCTGAGTAGTATAAACAAATGAATATTATTGTATTGTAACTGTACTGCCTTTATAAAGATACTACCCATGTCATAAAGGGAAAAAAATGTTTTCATATTAGAAGAAGCTGAAGCTGATCTGTACCCCTGATGTGTATCTATGTGTGTCATTTAATTTACAGCTTTCAATTTGGACATCATCTTTGGGAGCAGCTTCCCTCACGAGATATGTATTGCCCTAAAGATGTGCTGGCTTTTAAAAATATGATGTGCTAAATTGTTGCTGCTGGGCCCTCTTCAGTGTGTGACTTGGAATGCTGAACTTCAAGACTGCACAGCATCAAGGTCATTGAACTGCTTTTCTCATGGAGCAAAGGTATTTTTTCCTATTATGTAGCATTGTAAATCCTTTGTTTTAAACTTAATGCATCAGATCCAAATTTGAATAGTCCTGTTGGTTTGGTCCAACTAGTTTTCCCCAGCAATTACCTTGGGTTTATTTTGGTTAAATATGCATTCAACCCATTCAATGATGAACAATTTGCACGTTCATTTCAGGATTCTAAGATATTCAATAAGTGATACAAACATGAAAGCAAATTTGCAGATGCAAAACTAAGCACATTCTTGTTACCTTACCATATACCTATTTTGAGGATGGACAGTACTTTAGTGTCAGAGCATATCCTGTACATCCAGAAATTCCAGATTCTGCCTTTAGCATCTCTAAGTAGAATAGGGAAAAACCTGAAACCTTGGGAAAATCTGCCTGTCAATGTAGAAAGGTATCCTTCAACTGATTGGCTAGGGAAGTGCCAATATAGTAAAAAAAGGTGCAAGGTTAAGAAGGTAATATTGTACCAGTCTGTATAACAAATTGATCTAAAATGCCTTAATATATTCTTATTACATTATTTTATTATCTATATATGTGTAGCAAGTCGCAAAATATATATTTTATGACTTGCTACATATCCTATATTTCAGAGTGCAAAATTTATGAATCAGGATGACATTTGACAAAAATTATATGTCCAGGTTTCTTGTGCTAGAATAGCTTTAATCTTCAGAAGATTACATGAAAATTTTCTCAAGGTTCCTTGCAAAAATGAATAAAGTCATGGTTAATTTGATATGGAACAATCCCCCAATGTATTTTGTTATGTTGCTGAACGATCTGAGCTGTAGACAATTCTTTTCAGTTTCCCAAGGTTATTATCTAACAGTCCCCAAGGGTGACACACATCCCATGCTGCAAACCTGTGCAAATAAAAAATGGCTTTATTTCTACACAGCCATCACTCTGAAATTATGGAGCCATGATGTCAAGTGAACTCATCAGATTCCGTTGCTTCTAATGGAAAAACTGCATTTGGTAAGTCAACATTCTAAGCATAGTATCATTTCTTATCACTGTTATCATGATTGTTATCATGATAACTTATGAGTGTTATATCATAATGTTTCTTGCTCATATCACTAAGGAAGCTTCATGCTTCTAACTTCTAATTATGCTTGACCTAGAATTCTGCATTTTCTCTTAAAGAAAGGTGGTATATGAAGATATGGCACAATGATGCATAATTTTTGCAAAATAAAACAAAACCCTTCTACATATATAATACATTACAATAATTAATTGTGGATAGTGAAAATGTAACTTGTAAAAAAGAAAAAAGAGGCAAATGCTATACAACAAATAATTAGTAAAAGAAATGAAAATAAAATTGCTAGCCTGTATAGCCTCTGATATACATCTATATTATGATTGCACTTGAAATATTAAGTGTATTTTTTGGCAATCTACCTTTAAAAATATATAGAGCTGAAAAAATGCAGAACAGAATGAATCAAATGACTGGGAAACTAGACTAATTCTCCTATAAGGAAATATAGGAATTGGGGCTTTAATACTTGGAATAAGAGTAATTAAAAGCAGGTATGATAAATGCATATAAAGTCACGTATGGTAAGAAAAATACCGCTAGGGAGAATATTTTTTTTCAGAATGTTAGAGCACACAATCATTTATTGACATTAAATGCAGATAGTTTCAAGCTAATAAAGCAAATATTTCTTTAAAGAATGCATACTTAAACTATTTAATTTACTGGATTTACATGGTGATGAAACAACAAATTTTGTGCTTTGTCAAAAAATATTTTAAAAGACTAGTTGAATTTATAAAAGACTGAGCTAGAAATGGTTACTAGCTTGATAGCTATGGACTACCTCTGGAAACAGTGCATGTTAAGTGACTGCTGCGGGGAGCAACAATGAAAGAGATCTGTTGCTCTTCCATCCATATTTATGAGGTTCTCAAATGCATCTGGCTGACCAAGAAGTGATACATTTTGCTGGACAAGGTGACTCTGCTCTGATCCAACAAGAGGTCCCCCTACAGTCTCAATGTGTAAATTATTTTGAAAAAATTTAAACCAGAAGAGGTTCAAATAATATTATATATTTTCTTTTTCTGATTGAATTTCTGTGTATGTAAGTTTAACATTCCACCCTGCTTAGATACAAATAAAAATTCATGCACCTTAACTTGCAGAGAAACTATGCTGATATGTATTCCCCAAAATTCATATTGACTACTCAAAATGAGTTATTAGAGTTGAAGCATCTCTCCCTCCTTCCTCCCTCCCTCCCTCCCCCTCTCTCTTTCTCTCTCTCTTCTTTCCTTCCTTCCTTTCTTTTCTGTTGGAAACCATACTTGAGAGGTTTCTGAAGCTGAAGAATTGACAGGTTGCTGTTTTTCTAGCCAAAGATGCAAATTCTTTTTTTAAAAATAGTTGAAGCCGATAGAATAAAAGGTAAAGTTAATTCCCAGTAATAAATTTTAAGTATTATACATTTGCCTAATTATTGATGAGAACATTTCCTTCTAGAATTACCTTTATGGCTAAAGATGAAGGAAGGAAAGACTGCCAGTGTTTTATGTGGCTATGTTTGCACAGATCAAGAAATAATGCTAAGACTGCATTCTGAAAGATGGGATTTCCTGTCTCAGATTAAATTCTTAACAAGAATAAATTCTCTGGAGCGGCTTCCTATTATTCTGTGCTCTGCTAGAAGTGCTGCAAATATTTCTGCTTTGTCTGGCTTTTAATCTATGATTTATTATTGTTTTTGACTTCTAGTGACCAGTGGGGGAAGTGATTTTAAGAGTTAGATGTGCAATTAATCTCAATGTACTGTATTGTACAAATCAGTGAGACTTAAATTTTTCATGCTGTTTGAAATACTTACATTCAAAGGGCATATTAGAAAATCACTGCATCTATTTTTATGAATGTTGGCATATTAATGGTACTGGCAAATAATACAATTGTTTTGTTTTCCTAAATTAGATTAGAGGAGATGGAGCCCCATTTTTTTAAAGCTTCTTCCAGTTTTAGGATAAAAGAAAATAGGGTGGATCAGGGAGCTGGCAAGCACACTCCCTGCTCCCTGCTCCACCCTATTTTCTTTTACATTAAAAAAAAAATCATTCTTTTTTTTAAGAGAAAAGGAACCTAGAATACTGTACAAAATGTTTTAGACTTTGCTGTTTTCATTTTAGGAATGCCTAGGGGTCACTTAAAGGTATTTGCAAAAAATTATTGAGGGTGGTGGTGGTGCTTTTTATGTAACCATGTCTTTAGCTCACAGCTATTTTATAAGTGGACATTCCCCCTTATTGCCAGATTTAATTCTAAGAGAATGCCTAAAACAGATTCTTAACCCATTACCCCCACATTAAATTATTCTGATCAGATTATGTGGTGCCAGCAAAAATTCTATGTTACTACATTCTTATTATTTTAACTAGATGCTAGTAACAGCAATGTACTTTCTATCCTGCGTTTCAATGATGCAATCAGAGCAGCCAACATTATTGGCAAATTGTTTTTGCAACATAAAGTTTGTAAAGGATAATGTAATACTGTATTTTGTTAGAAATAGGTGAAAATGCTTATCTATGTACTTAGAGGGCAGCTAGTAAGCCCAAACTGGCTACATATGAAGATATTTTCAATAGAGACACTAACAACAGAATTTTGAGTTTTGCTTGGCAGAAGTTCAACTGTATTTAATCCCAGATAAGTAGCATGGTTTGGAGTCTAACATTAACACATTTAAGTTCTTCTGCAATTTGTTCCTAGCATGGAAAAATGATTTTTATTTTATGCATTTTCAGAAGCAGTTGTATATATTATCATTGTATAATTATAATTTATTGTAAATTTCAATCATTCTTGATTTAAGTATCTACTTTATGAATTATTTTTAGATCATTTTTTATTTACAAGCACAGAAACATAAAACAAATATAAAACACAAAAAGAAGAATCTAAATCAGGGACAATAAAATAAATGGAATAAAACGATTGGCAGCAATTCAGGAAGAAGCCATTATTTGAGCAGTCCATTAAAGCTCAAAACAATATATCATCTTCAAAAGCCTGATAAAATAAAAACCTCTTTGCATTATGCGCAAACTTGGATGTTGGAGAGACTTGATTTATTAAGTCCCTCAGAAAAATGAAGGCAAGTATTGGAGAAAGCCATCAGAAACAAAGTCTTCTGTTGTTCATCTATAATCTAAATAAATTAATCTTGTTGCAGCTTCAGAATGGAACTTTCCTAGACTGGAGCTCATTTAATAGTTGTAGTTCCAGAGTTAGTAGATGATCTTATTTTGTCAGATGTTTGATGGCTCTCTATTGTCTTTTTCTTCCTTACTTCGCTTCTTTCAGATTGGTTGCACTTCAGCTTCTTTAATAATAACAACTGAAGTCTAAGTCAGCTGGACGGTATCAGATTTTAGAAAGTTGATGTGAAAGATTATTTGTGTAGATCATTTTTTCCTGTTAAAAAAAGTCCTTTTCCTCTGTCCTTTAAAAAAGTGTGTGTGTGTGTGTGTTTGTGTGTGTGTGTGTGTGTGTTCATTTTTCATATATACTCATGTTTTTTAAATCCTGTGCTTTTGACATTGTCTTAAAAGCAAGTTTGGCTGCATAGAATTCACATCTATTTGAGCTTGGAATTTATATTACCATCTGGTACAAGTTGAAAGTCTGACAATTTATTCGAAATACAGGATAATTAAAAAACAAATACTGACATACCCTAAATACTGAGAAGTAATATAATAGTTAATAATTCTGTGCATTTCCCTAGTTTCTTTTACTTGTTTGTTTTAGAGATATAATAAAGCCCCCCCTCCCCCAGGTTCCATTATATCTGATTCTCAGAGCCTGCTGGGACAAGTCCTTTCAGTTTCTTGGCAAGGTTTTTCAGAAGTGGTTTGCCATTGATTCCTTCCTAGAGCTGAGAGAAAGTGACTGGCCTAAAATCAATCCAGCTGGCTTTGTGCCAAAGGCTTGACTAGAACTCATAGTCTCTGGTTTCTATTCTGATGCTTTAATCACACCAAACTGGCTCTCATGAGAAAAGTAAAGCACCTCTAATACAAGATACAGATAGTCCTCAACTTACGACCACAATTGAGCCCAACATTCATGTTGCTAAGTGAAACATCTGTTAAGTGAATTTTGCCCCACTTTATGACTTTGCTTGCCACAGCTGTTAAATCAATCCCTGCAGTTGTTAAATGAGTAACATGGTTTTTAAGTGAATCTGGCTTCCCCATTGACTTTGCTTGTTGGAAGGACACAAAAGGTAATCCCATGACTTTGGAACATAAAAACTGTCATAAATATAAGTCAGTTGCCAAGTGTCTGAATTTTGATCATGTGACCATGGGAATGCTGTAACAGTCGTAAAGTGTAAAAAATAGTCATAAGTCACTTTTTTCAGTGCTATTGTAACCTTGAACAGTCACTAAATGAACAGTTGTAAGTCAAGGACTACTTGTAGTTCAGGGATGGGTTCCTACCAGTTCTAACCTCTTCTATAGAAGAGTAAGTAAGTAAGTAAGTAAGTAAGTAAGCAAGCAAGCAAGCAAGCAAGCAAGCAAGCAAGCAAGCAAGCAAGTAAGTAAGATCTTTCTTACGGTCAAAGACCAGCAATATACATTTGTCTTTACACTATATTAAAAATACTAACATTAAAATATAATAAAAATAAAAAAATAAAAAAAATAAAAAAAGTATTTACATTAAAAGTGGATAATAACATTATGGTCCAAAGATTGTTAAAGGTATGTCCAGATAATTGGTACAAGATGGTACTATACTGTAGCCAATTTTTTTCTTATGGACATTGCAGCAGCACAGAACTTTGCCACTGCATACGTGGTAGCCAGGTTAGTGTCCTGGAGGAGAAAGCCTAGATAAACATTGTCTGCCCTCCCTGGCAATCTCTCTAATAAGGGGAGAATATATGCAGACCTACAAGCTCTGTATAGCTCGCAGTGTAATAGTA